TCTCCCTCCTTCCCGTCCACTTCCCTCTCTCTCTCTTTCTCTCTCTCTCATCGCTCTCTCTCTCTCTCTCTCTTTCTCTTCCTTTCCCTCCTCCCTATCCTTTCCTCCCTCCACCCCTCTAAGCACCCCCCCTCCCCCCCCCTCTCTCTCTCTCATCTCTCTTCACTTCTCTCTCTCTCTCCTCCCTTCCCTCTCTCTTCCTCTTTCTCTCTCTCTCTCTCTCTTCTCCTCTCTCTCTCTCTCCTCTTTCTCTCTCTTCCCTCCCTCCCTTATCCTTTCCCTCCCTACCACCCCTCTAACCCCCCCTCCCCCCCTCTCTTCGCTCACCCCCCCCCCCCCCTCACTCGCCTCTCTCTCCTCTCTCTCTCTCTCTCCACAATCTCTCTCTCTCTCTCCCCTTTCCCTCTCTTCTCTTCTCTCTCTCGTCTCTCTCTCTCTCATCAATCTCTCTCTCTCTTCCTCTCTCTTTCCCTCCCTCACCTTATCCTTTCCTCCCATCCACCCCTCTAACCCCCCCTCCCCCCCCCTCTCTCGCTCTCTGTATCTCTCTCTCTCTCTCTATCTCACATCTCTCTCTCTCTCTCCCCCTTCCCTCTCTCTCTCTTTCTCTCTCTCTCTCTCTCTCTCTCTCTCTCTCTCTCTCTTTCTCTCTCTTTCCCTCCCTCCCTTATCCTTTCCCTCCCTCCACCCCTCTAACCCCCCTCCCCCCCCTCTCTCGCTCTCTCTCTCTCTCTCTCTCTCTCTCACATCTCTCTCTCTCTCTCCCCTTCCCTCTCTCTCTCTTTCTCTCTCTCTCTCTCTCTCTCTCTCTCTCTCTCTCTCTCTTTCTCTCTCTTTCCCTCCCTCCCTTATCCTTTCCCTCCCTCCACCCCTCTAACCCCCCCCTCCCCCCCTCTCTCGCTCTCTCTCTCTCACTCACTCACTCACTCTGCTCCTTACCTCTCTCTCCTGTTTATTTATTTTTTTTAATCAGAGGTTGCGTATGAAGAGGAGGGTGTGTAGGGAAGGCGGGTCAGATAGATATATCCAGCTGCTGACGTTAATATCCACACACACACGAAAAAAGAATAATTTTGCAATCATTTCAACCATTCTAACTTCGCGAAATTGAATATTTCATAAAGGGGGGGGGGGGGGGGGATGACTGAAATAAAAAAAAGAAAAAAGAAAAAAAGAGAGAGAAAGAAACCAAAAGAAAAAAAGCTGTTTCAGAATCTCTTTCGCAAACAAGTGAGCATCGAAATCCGCCGCTACCAGTGATGACGAATAGGTTCATAAGAAACACCGAGATCGGGTTCAAAGAGAGATTCGAATTCCTTTCTCGGGAAAATATAGGCGAGCGGATTTTAAAGCAGGTGAGGCATAAATTGACATGTGGACAGATAGATAGGTAGATACATAGATGGATCGAGAGATAGATAAATATGTATAGAGAGAGAAAGAGAGAAAGAGAGAGAGAGAGAGGGAGGGAGAGTGAGAGAGAGAGAGAGAGAGAGAGAGAGAGAGAGAGAGAGAGAGAGAGAGAGAGAGAGAGAGAGAGAGAGAGAGAGAGAGAGAGAGAGATTGAGAAAAATATAAAGAGAGGAAGGGAGAGGTAGAGATAAATGGTAGATAGATAGATATACAGATAAACAAACAGACAGACGGATAGAGTGAGAAAGAAAGAGAGAAAAAAATGGTAATGAGAGAGTAAGAGTAACAGGAAGGGAGAAAATAGTAGGTAAATAGATAGATAGACAGTTAAATAAGTAAATCATTGAATAGACAGATGGACACCTGGGCAGATGATTAGGTAAATGGATAGACAGAGGAATATATAGATAGAGGAACAGAGAATAATAAAGAGAGAGAGAGGATGAGAAAAATATTCTCTCCAATTATATCCTGAACACAATCTCCTACTTAAAAAAATGAAAAAAGATATAGCAAGAATATAATTGCCTCCCCCCCCCTCCCTCACCCACACCCACGCCCACGCCCAGGCCTCTTAACCCTAGTCCCTTATACCCTTTCGTCAAAGGCGTGGTCATGAGCTAATGCATGACACCGATCATGAACAACCTAGCGCATAGGTGACCGACCGGGTACCCTTCCCGCACCCTGACAGGCAAGCAGGCAGGCAGGCGCAGGCAGGTGTCATGGCCGCTCAGGGTCGCTTGCGGTCGGGTATATAAAGCCCGGGCTCTTGGGTTGCCGCGCCCAGATCACGTCCATACGCGTAGCTTGAACGTCCCTCCGTTGCGTTCGTCTGTTCTCTCCGTCCGCCCTTCGTCTGTTCTCTTCGTCCGCTCTTCGTCTGTTCTCTTCGTCTGCCCTTCTCTTCGTCCGTCTGTCTGTCTCCGCTCTCGCCTCCCTCCGCCAGCATGCACTCGTCATTAGTATGTGTTTGTGTTCTTCGTCGTGTGTTTTGATTTGGGATTCTGGATTTGATTCTGTACTTATCTATTTAATTTGTGGGAAGGGGTTTCTCTGTATTGTGTGAATGTTTGTCTCTGTGTTG